TTCTTTGAATCCCTTTTACAAACTGGATGCCTGAAACTGGCTAAATTTCTCAGATTGGTTCATGTATCATTCATCAACTTAAGATGTTGCCCAGAAGACAGTGAAGATTAACTCTGAAGATTTTTATTTATTCCCCTATAGATTAGATTGACTGAGAGGATGCCACTTGGCAAGGGATTAATGGACATTTGCACAATGCATTATGGTTGGCATTTTGACCTAACCACCATCTTGGAAGGAAAACTGGAAATAAATTACATCTAACATCCAGGAAACTGGAAATAAATTACATCTAACATCTTAGAAGTCACCTGACCAAATCTGTTGTGAAATTGGTATACAACATCTTTAGTTTCCAGAGATGGAATTTTAACATACAATGGAAACCCAAAGGAAAGAAAATTTACTTTTGAAAACCTGAAAACATCAAATTTCCCCGATGTTGCTCCCCCCCCCCAGTCCTGAAGTAAACCATTGATAGGTACATTATGCTCAACACATTCATTTCAGAAAAATCCAACTAATCTCAAAACCAACAGACAACCAAATGAGTTCAAGCTAATGCTTCCTTTCCCCTAAGGTGTTTAAAATGGATTGTTTGACTAAACTAAACTTTATTTTCCACCAAATGAGAATGTTAATTAATTTCTTATTGAATTAAGTAATATAAAATTAGATTTGCAAAAACAAATGTTATACCAGACTGACAGATAGCTTAATTCACGGTAAGAAAAAGCACAAAAAGTTTAAATTAAGTAAACTACTATTTGTACTGGAAATTTGCCACGTATTCAAGAGTAAATTGAATAATTAATTCATTGAACTTATTTCACACACAACAATACTTACTTTCAGGGTCTCTGCATAATCTTGAAATGATGGTCGAGTAGTGTCATCCTCCAAGTTAGCCTGTATGCAGTATCAAATTGACATTCAAACACTTGAATTCAAGGGCTGCAAAGTTGAAATACTCAGTTACCATTTATACCATTATTATTTTCAGGTAGAAACTTACAGGTAATCCTCCACCAATATCAATAGTGTGGATCTGTTTTTTCCCTAATCTTCCATTCACTTCCTTAAAAAAAAAACCAGAACATGAAAATTTAGTGATCATATTACTCAGGTGATACACAGTCCACTGGACTGAGTAGAAGAAAAAATCCATGTGCTTTATCATTTAACCCTTCACCTCCCAGAAGTGATAAAGATGTAACTTCTGTCTACAATATCCATACATCATCAGCAAACAGGTTATGAGGATACTCCAGCAGCTAGAGAGGAGAATTAACTATCAGATCTTGGGAATTAAAAGGGTTAATAAACAAATTGACGAGAAAGCAAAATGTTATACAATCATTATAATACAATATTTTCTAGAGTTACATGAATGCATTTGAAGAAACTCCTCAAAAAAATTGTTAATATTCCAGAATTTATGTTAAAGTTAATAAAAAAGTAGGAAAGACACAGATAGCACTGTCTTTAGTTTTTTGAACAAGTTTTAAACATTATTTGCCAAATACCATTGGAAGTAGAATGAAATAGACCTGAAATGAACCCACAAGCTATTTAACAATCATCATTTTGAAGTCAAGGCTTTGATTGATTGATTGATTGAAATAGCTGGGATATTATACTACTGGACACTTCACCAAAAACAGGTGCATGTTACCATAGGAACAACAGTGCATGTATAACTTTAGAAGCAGAGAATACTTATTTAGATGACGATATGTCCTTACCAAAGCAAAGTCAACAACACATTTAACACCACAGGTAAGATCACTACAGTCAAAACTCTGAAATCAGATGGAAACAAAAAACAAAGCTGCCTTAAATAAGTGAGCACTTTGTTAACACCAGGCAACATTGAAATAGGGGAGAGGAGGGAGAATATATGAAAGTTACTCCTTTAACCCCTAAGAGTGTCTAGCATCTAATTTCTCCTTACAATATCACCCCTGAATC